TAAAAACATAATAAAAATGATGATTTTGAAGCTTATAAGAGAATTAAATGGAAAAGCACAAGCTGAGTGTACACATTTGCATTCATGCAATATATAGGATATAACAAAGCATGAAATGTATGTACATGTTTTACTTAATGTTTTATTTAATGTAACGTTTTATTTTAGAATCAGTTTTATCGACATTGATCAAGCTCAGCCATCGCTGCAGCATCCTCTTAAGCTCCAATATTCAACTGAAATTATAACTCAAAGAACAAATAACTCGAAAAGTAAATAAGCAACTTTAATTTAAAGTTAATTTAAAGAACGATATTGATAATATCAACGTTAGAAAATTTTTATTAGAATATTTTTTTTTTAATATTCGGATTGAAATATATACGCATATCCTGCAAAATCACGCATCCTCTCTCGTGCCTACTGCCTACGTGACTGTCATTAAAATAACCTAAAAATTCTATTCATCCATCTACTGAGTTGGAGAGAGATTTCTCCAAAATCTACATCAAGTCGATGTTCCGAACCAAATCATGTTCAGTTATTAAGAATCCTCATGACTGCTGATGAAAATAATTATACCATTTCTACATCACGATGCAACAACGCGTATAGCCCGTGTCCGGCGAGTCGATAGAACGCGGCCATATTAAGCGTCATCGTTGCCGTCGCCGAAAAACCATTGTAGGTAGATATGGCTTCTCGAGAAACACAAGGCAGCATTGGACGAAAATGCTAGAATTTCGGAACTCCAATTTCGATGCTACGAACACGTGGGCATAATTCTGTCTCCAACAACGCGAAGCATGATTCACCGTCATAGAACTCCTGTTAGTTTCTTTCATGCTCGCATGTGCAGACATCAAGAGAACGAATTCATCGTCAAAACCATATAGATTTAAAGATTTTTTTTTATCGCTAAAAAACAATGGACTTCTTATGCGAAAACTGGCTGCCGCTACCGCCACTACACGCCACACCCTTTTCGACGCGTTCGGCATAGAATCGATTCTCAAACCAGCGAACGAACGCAACTAACGACGCTCGATGTGCCAAAGACATTTTCGTCGCTCGGTCATCCAACGACGACGCACGAGTGTGACAAGGACATTCGCGTGCATTCCGTACGACTCTATTGTCGCGTATTTTCGAGAAAAACGGAGGCGTGAAACATGTCCGCCGCCTCCAAGCAGTTCATCATTGTTCCATGGAATTTCGTGACGGCGAAAATCTGCCGGCAGAATACGATATTATAATATTCGCTGACGGTGATACAAGAAGTCTCATAGCAACAGAAGCGAGCGAGCAAGAAGCAAGCAACGAACCAATCGACCGATTAACTGACCGATCGTTTGGGGCCGGCCGGCCGGCCGGCAGTCGGCACATAAGTATATATACGTGGCAATGTGGCATTACATTTCGGGGTTAGAAGCGATCGTCGACATGCATGCCGCGCGGCGCATTGCGACGTTCCACAGTTCGGCTGGCTCACTTGTTTGAACCGGTTCGTTTCGTGCTCGAGCCGAATGAGCTCGAACGAAAACCGCGCGGATAATCTCATCGGAGCATCTGTCCTCTCTCTTTCTTTCTTGCGCTCTCGCTTCTTCTCGCTCATTTACACTCTATCTTTCGCACTTCTCTCCCTCGTCTCGCGCCGACAAAGCGTGCTTCATACCTTCGGAGGGCTCTTTATTCCGCGCACTTTCCCTTTTATCGAGGGGGCGTGCTACCAAATCTATTTGTCCTATCTATCCCTCGTTCTCGCTTCACGACTATAACTCACTCATTCCCTCTTTCCCTCCCCCTTCCGCTTTTCCACACCCTCTCTCTTTCTCTCACTTATTCACTCTTTCTCTTTTTCTCTCACACACACACATACGCACTCTCGCGCTCACTCTCTCTCTCTCTCTCTTTCTCCCTCCCCCCCCTCTCTCTCTCTCTCTCGCTCTCTACCGTTTCTTGGTACATTCTTTTGGAGCTGCTACTCACTTCGAAGCCTTCAGATTTCGCCCACACATTGCCATCGTGTCCGGCGATCGCCGCTTTGGTAACACACCTAGACGCGAGCAGCTGCTTATCAACGTAATCCTGCCAGCTCATTTTTGAACACAAGGAGGGAAGGAAAAGACGATCAAAACCGTTCACTACGATACACTAGACGACCACAACCCGTCACCGACTGCCTCGTCTCGCAACTACCGATACGCGCTCTCCGAACTCCGAAACGCCGGTCGTTCCGCCAATCCCCCCTTTACAACACACTACTTCTTTGCCCCTCCCAACGTCTATTGCCGTCATCGCCAAGTCGTCCTTCACAGTTACATTGCTCCCTCTACCTGATATTTCTATAACCAGCGGCACAAGGATTCTAGAGACATTTAAATAAATAGATTTGTTCGCGTTACTTGAAATCCCCCAAAATTTTTGAACTAATGAATATCTTAAAATGAGATAGATATATTTTTGAGCGTTGAAAAGAGAGAAAATAAAAACTTCGTGTTGAACGCACAAAGTGTAAGCAACGCGACAGACCTAATATCTAGTTAATAATTTTCCAATTGCAATATTCCTAGACATTTTCGAGCATACGGCGATACAATGTGTTTAGGTCTGTTCGCGTTGTTTGAAACTCTCAAAAATTTTTGCACTTGAAATGAGATAAGATTGCGTTCGGAAACATTATTCGGGTAGCCCTTGTATTATCTTAAAGTGTCATTTTATGCGACACTAAAACGCTTGACATTCGTTTAGTTCGTGTTTAACATAAAATAATACTTCAAATATTTGTCTAATATAATATATTACGTGAAATTTCTTTTTGAATTAAATTTACATATTCTGTCATCCATGCGTGATATTTATAATTAAATATATTGAATTTTAAATTCAAGAATAAATAACACAAAGTAATATACACGACAGAAATCTATTGTCTCCTCGCTACAGATTACAAAGGTTAGGCTATATTTTCACCTGACACTATGACGCTCATTTTCAGCGTCAAAATAAGTCACGTAATCAAAATTGATGCTTAATATTCGTCAATTTCTATCACGTGACTTATTTTGACGCTGAAAATGAGCGACGAGCGTCAGCATGAAAAAGCACCTTTAGATTCAATATTTCTTGATGCTAGAAAATGAGCTAGTTTAGGAACGAACATTTTCAGTGTATAAAAAGGAATCTTTGAACCTTATAAACAATCCATAGACAGAAAGGACAAAGATTTAGAATCTTACATATAAAGAGATCCGACATTAATGTCCGAGAGCCTGATTAACAGTCTGATATGTATTCTGATTGGATATCTCCTTCTAAGGCTACATTCCAAAACTTCCTCTCCGAAGGAAATTTCATTTGAAATATATAGTACATGTAACGTATACTATAATATATAGAGTAAAATCTTCGAAAAGGAAGTTTTAGAATGTAGTCTAAGTGAAGCAGTCATATTGTGACCGCAGCTGATTACACAGGCTGTGTAACAGCTGACACACGTAACCTCAACCGCTAACGAAATACAGGATAGAGGTCATGTACTTTTTTCGCTAGAGCGGAAACGTAAAAAGTAAAAATTTTTATGTATGTGTTTGTACATATACACACATGCATACAAAGAATTTTCACTTTTCACGTTTCCGCCCTAGGGAAAAAGTTACATGGGGTCGATTCTGTATCTTCAAACAAGGTAAAAATTACAAAAGTGAACAAATTTACTAGGTGTTGACCAATAAAATTATCAGTATTCTAGTAAATTCGCTCACTTTTGTAATTTTTACCTCGTTTCAAAATAGATTCGATTCCCTGATCGCTATCCTGGGTATCAATCATGAAACTTTACCTCTAGAATGGAAAGTGAAAAGTGAAAATTTTTACCATTGAAATTAATGGAGAAAATTTTCACTTTTCACTTTCCATCTTAAAGACAAAGTTTTATGATTGATACCCTGAGCTCACTCCGTTAAAGGAATTGATGAAATACATTCTTCTTTTTTAATTTTGGCTCCTGCCTTTAGTAAATCAGAGAGATTAATAACACCACAACGAAGTATAGAATGTTGGAGGTTAAAGCAAGATTAGAGTATGTTTATTTTTTACTACACCGAAGCAGTCCAAATATGACGGCGCAGAAGTGATGGTAGGGGTTCGATGTCGGGTCTCTTTATATATAGGACTCTAATTTAGAGAGAAACACTGTCCAACTGCACACACCATTGGTCTGTTCGACTTGCTTACACTATTTTACACTTCATGGAGTAAAAAGAAGGAGATCAAAAAGTTTGTTCGCATTGCATACTATACATGCTTCAACATATTCCTACAACATAGCTCCTACTCATTCTGACGAGCACGTTTGAGTGAATAGAAGCTATGGTTGGAAGAAGTAGAAGCATGTTGGAGCATACGACGCGAACAAACCTAAATTCGAAGATAAACAATGCTCGAAATACAGTGTAGGAAAACTCTTGGAAAATCGAGACGATGCGATTTTAGTGTCATTGCGGGAAAAGTTGGAGATATACGAGGGTCGTTCGAAAAGTCCGTGCAAAGTCACTGCTGATGGCACTACTGGCGCGTATCAAGGTTAGATTTAGTTAGTAGCATCTCTTGGAGAAACACACACCAAGTTACAGCCAGATCGGTCTATTTGTTTGTGTTTGGCATTCATTTGAATCGAGGAAGTCGAGGGGGGTTTGTTTCTGCAATCACGTCCTCGTTTCCATAAAATCTTTTTCCCGCCAGCCATTTCTTCATATTGGGGAACAAATAGTAGTCCGAGGGAGCCAAGTCTGGAGAATAGGGGGGATGTGAGACGAGTTGGAACCCTAATTCCATTAATTTTGCGACCACAACTGCTGAGGTGTGAGCTGGTGCGTTATTGAAAATCACTCGACTTCCTCGATTCAAATGAATGCCAAACACAAACAAATAGACCGATCTGGCTGTAACTTGGTGTGTGTTCCTCCAAGAGATGCTACTAACTAAATCTAACCTTGATACGCGCCAGTAGTGCCATCAGCAGTGACTTTGCACGGACTTTTCGAACGACCCTCGTATATCACATGATAACGCGTACGGAATACACATGAATGTTTTGCTTTCAGTACAGAAATTTCAATTTATAGAATAGAATGGAATTTATTACACTTCAGCATATACAGCCAAAAAGGGAACTTGATTTACATGAATACTTAACTCATTCACTTTTCCATACCTCGTCCGCATGCTATCACACATATATTATTACAAAAATTTTTTAAAGCTTTACTTTCCTACTTTTTTTATTAAATTCTCTGACTTCGTTTCTTTACCTACTTTATTTCTTTTCGCTTTATCCGCTTTTTTTCTTATAGTTATATCTAATTCTAATGTTATGTATTCTCGTTCAATAAATACGTTATCTCTAAAAATCACAGTCTTATCACCGCCTATTATTACCTTTTATTTATATCTTTCTTACTCAATAATTCTCTTTACTTATTTTCTTTTTCTCTACATATCATCACTCTACCTATACATTTCCTCCATGTCCTTTTTTGACTTTTTTCTCATCTCCCTTCTTTTTGCTTCTTCCCTCTCTTTCCATAATTTTTTTATAATTTCCCCTTTCACCTCATTTAAATCCTCATCATACAGTCTCCTTAAGATCTCTTTCTTTTCTTTTCCTAATATATATAGTAAACCTTTCTCTTATTTCCGGACATTCCTCTATATAGTATTTTAAATTATTTTTTCTATTATCACAAAGTATATACTTTTTCCTGTTCTTCTACCCAATATTTATTACCTTCCTTCAAGTTCCACATTTTAATTTGAGCGAGGTTCTCATCTCTTCTCCCCTTTTCCCTTCCCCTAACTTATTATTAATTTCCTCAAATACTCGGGAATCCTGCTGTTTACCTCTATTTCCTTATATCTCTCATTGTACTTTGTCTTGTGAATTTTACAGTTCTTTCACTGTCTTTGCACCTCTCTTCCCCTCTATTTATTAATTGATCCTCAAAGCCTTCTTCCCCATATATCTTCTCTTGCTTCTATACTCCATCCATTCCTATTATAATATCTTATCCTTTCCTGTCCGTATACATCTCCTCAGCTATTCCTGTTCCAAATTTCAATTTATATAAAATTTACTTTTATTTTTAAATAGTAAATGCATTAATATTTATTGAAAAATATTTACATTTATGCGTAGTCATAAATTATCATTAAATCATTGTTTTTTAACTTATCGATATCAAAAAATTTTAAAATTAAAAAGTATAAAAATAGGATTTCAACGACAATTTTCCTTCTCAGAATATATTTTACGCATGAAAATACATAAACTTACAGAATTACAGGAAAATGGGAGGAAAAATATTTATCAAATTTTCTAAGTTGACAGTTTTCTCCGACAGAAGTACTCAAATTTGTTCTTCTATACAGCACTTTTCCGACATCATATTTTGAATCCATTTTTTCGGGACCGGACGCTTGAGTTTGGTCTCGTTCTTTTTACTCTGTGTTACACTTTTTATACTTAAAATGAAATAGATATATATTTGCCGCTAAAAAGAGAGAAAGCGAAAATGCTGAGTGTAAAAAGTGTAAAGCCAGCGGCACACAATGCTTATTTTCCTGCTGAATTGCTAATGCTCATTTCCATCAACATAAACTAACTTTAATCTCGGTTCAACTTACTCTTTGTCTTCTTCTAATCTTTAGAATTAGAAAATAAAGGATAAGTTGAACCGAAATTAAAGTTAAGCGGGAAGCACAGACTTTTGCATAACGCATAACACGTATATAATGCATAAGAAAATATATCAATCAAAGTCCTTCGTTTTTCTTCTTTCTATGAAATAAAGAATTTTGATTGGTTGGATTTCTTATGCCTCATATGTTATGCATTTTGCAAGAGTCTGTGCTCCCCATTTTAAGCAGGGTCGTCCATAACAATCGAGCAACTCAATTGGTCGAAAAACTTACTGTTATGGTGCGGCCATAATCGAAGGAATAAAGAAGTAGGAATAAAGAATCCAACTTATGAAAAACCGTGTATTCCAGTGTATCCAATATTTGATAGGTTGAAAGTCTTATTCTTTATTCCTAATTCCTTATTCCTTCTATTGTGGCTGTACCTTTACTGTTATGGAAAGCGTATGTGACTTAAGAATGAGCTTAAGAATTGACCATGGAGTATAGAGAATAGAAGGCTGAACTAGGCTTTGAAAAGTGTGGTCAAAATCAGATTTCTG